TGGCGGAGCGTTGGCATCGTAACCTTCTTGGAGGCGCCGCCTTGAAGCTCACGGTTCGTCATATGCGGCTTCATCTCTTCGTGGTGGCGTGTTCACGGTGGAGCTCCCCGATTGCTCTTGTAGTGTCAGGGATGATGTTATTGCGCTCAGCGTCTATGTATCCCCCCTTGGATGTGTGCGTGTGTTGTGTTTGTACTTGGGCTGTGGTTGATCTTTGTTTTATATATAAAGCGGGGCGAAAGCCTTTTTTGATAATTCAAATGTGAAGTAAGACCACAACAATTACTTTGAAACGGAGGGAGTAGTTGTTTAACTGAAGATAGTATGTTGTTTTGTGCCACTTGCATCATTGGTATGCGGCCTGAGCATATATAAATTGTTTCAGCCATGTTGCTAATCCTACGCTTTCGTGTGAGTTTATCTGAAGATAGACAAGAAGATTAGTGCAAATTTGGACAGGTTTCATCGAATTTGGATACGAGGATAGACAGTACAATAGTATTGCTTATCCGGATCAGCCAGATGAGTGGCCGTGTCCCGCGACGCCACACGTTATCGTCCCGTTCCGCCCTTTGCTCTATGTTCCGCGACGTTGCCCGTCGTGGCAAAGGAGGGCGAAGACCTGGGCGGCGGATTCCTCCTGTGGCATGGCCTGGCCAATCGGAGCACCATCCATCACAGCCTAGAATTAATTGGTTTTCGGCCAGAAAAAATGAATTTCGGACAAAACCGGCCATTTCGTTTGGCCTGGTAGATATGTTTGCTGGCCCAAATATTTCGTCCCTATTTGATATTTTGGGCCGATCCAACGTCCGACCTAGCCTGCATAGCTGTTTCGATATGATGCTAAAAAAAAAAGCTGTTTCGATGAAGTACCCCTAAAAAAAAGTTGTCTCGATTAAGTAAAAGGGCTGGTGGAAAGCGCTCCTAACCCTAAAGGTAATTGAATTCCCCACATCTATTTCAGCGGCAGCACCTTCGTTGTACCCGATCCCGATGTGTTCGCGCTACCAACTTCTCCTGGCTGCATCGCCTCAGTTACAGGGGTGCAAGCCAACGGTATCCACATGCCGCATCGAGGAGCAGGAGTGGAGAAGGCGTGCCGTGCTCGTTCCTGGGCAGCGGGTTTCATGTACTAGCCCAGGAGCAAGATGAGCTGTATGTATTGTGGGATTCCTGCTAGTTTATCGACTCCTGATTGGAGTTTGCTGCAACTGAAGCGAGTCATGGGTGCAAGCGACCAGTTGATAGTCGGGATTCTGTAAGATTCTGCTTTGTTTCCTTTGCTGCATCATTTCAAATTTTTGGTACAATTTTGGTTGTTTTTCATCTAGATTTCGCTCATTTCGTTCAAAATTTAGACTGCTCTCCGCCTGAGATTTTTCGAAAAAATTCCGAAATACCGAATTTCGTCCATTTCGGTTAGGGACGGTAAAGTTTAGAAAAGGACTAGCTCATGGCAGGTACTGAATTTGGTCGCTTTGGCTATGTAAAAATGATTTGATTTTTTAATGACAAAAATGCTTCTCCTCTACAGGTTATTTTCTGGTGTATGCACTCGTTACGTACGTGGCCTATGCTACAACCGCTGGAGTACCAACCGTTGTTCATGACGGTGTACGCGATTGGAGCAGGTGGCTACGGAGGGTTTTTTTTCAACATTGGTGGCAGCATAACCTACGGATCGATCCACCACCCTCTTCGACATAGGCATAGTGTCGGTCTAAAGGACTCTACAGTTGCCGATTTGTCAATTTTTATTTTATAATTTTTTGTCAAACTTTTGAATTTGACTGTGTGCATCTTAGTTATGCAGAGACCAGGTGTTATTCATAATGCTTTGTATCCGCTTGATGCTACATTTTAAGATAATAAAGTCGCCCTTTATCGAAAAAAGGGTGTCCTAGGTCAAGCAGACACATGCAACTTGCAAAAAACCGTCGTTCGTCGTTCTGTGCTTCGTATGGGCAGCGCAGCCCAACATCCGAAGCCAGCCGTTCGATTTCTTCCGAACGTAAATTCGCCACGAGCCGACGATCCCGTCCTTTTCCCCAAGAAAGCACCATCGCCCTGGTCGCAAGTTGTAGCATGTCAGGTCGCATCTGGGCTCCAGTCATGACGTCGTCGAGCTTCGCTGTGTCCGCTCTCCCGTGCATGGCCTCCTCCCGTCGTGACGCTTACTACCTCCGCTGTGTCCGCTCTCCCGCCTCCTGTCGTGGCGCTCTCCGGTCTCTTGTCATGGCGCGCACACACCATCGCAATTAGCGAGCGCATCCCAGCAGACCCTAGCTCACTTTTCACCATCATCGAGCGCCCGATCAGGTGATCACCGACCGTGGATATTCGTCCGCACCTCACCTCATCCTAAATTCTTCGACAGAGGAATGCCTGAGATGCTAGCGTCCTCTGGTTGCATTTTCTAGTAATTTATCTTTTTTTTTACAGAAAAAACTTTCGATCTATTTATCAATAATATAAATAACACCAGCAATAAAAATTACATCCAAGTCCATAGACCACGTAGCGACGACTATAAGCACTGTAGCGAGCCGAAGGTGTGCCGCCATCATCGGCCCTCCCTCACCGCAATAGGAAAAATCTTGTAATAGATAGTCGGGAAGTCATAGAGGATCAGCGCACCACAACAACAACTGCTACCAATGAAGAGAAGGGTAGATCGAAAAGATCTAAACTGTAGACAGACGACCACTAACAAACAAAGACCTGATCCACGTGGATCCATCGAAGACAAACGCCAATCGAATCCAATAAGATCTGCTGGTGACAAACCTCCACACGCTCTCCAACAATGCTAGAAGCACCGCCAGAATGGAGGCTAGGTGAAGAGAATGTTATTCCATCTTCAGAGAGCCGCGGCCACCGCCTCGCTTCTCTGAGCAGGACACAAACCCTAGTAAAACACACACAAAAAAAAAACGAAGCCCTCCATTCGGCAAAGGTCGGGATCCACCGACATCGGTAAAGGCCACAAAGGATGAGACAGACCGACAGCGGCACAGACACGAGGCACAAGAAACCCAAGAGCAGGTGGTGGCTAGGTTTAGGAGGAGGCCAGGTTTCTAGTAATATAGCGTGCTAATACGGTCATACATGAATTCAAAAAAAAAACGGTCATACATGATGCTATCCTTGTGCATTTCTTATTATAAGACCACAGAATGGATATATCATTATCTGACAGTTTACCAAGATAGAGATATATAGCCATCACAAGAGGAAACGGAGCATTATTTCCTGAGCAAACAAGAAATGTCCAGGAATATTAGTGTTTGGTCAGCCAGCTCTTTCACTCGGCTGATTCGCTCAAACTCCGGCGTTGAAAACAGAGGAAACAGAGCAATATTTCCTAAGGGCATTTTTAACCGATCTTTTAAAAAATAAAGGAGTATCTGCGCGAGTTAACCTTATTGAGGTATTTATACTAACTAAGTTTTGATCAGTTCTAACCAATTCCCTAAATTTAGCGGAGTAAAACGTAAATTTTCATAAATTCAACCTAATTTCAACTGAAAATTGTATACATTTAAACATAAGTCCAACATAGATAGTCATGGCAACCGTACATTAAACATAAATTTAAACTTATTACAAAACTTAAACTAGAGTACTCATCGGCACTGGCGGAGCTTCGTGAGGGCAAAACAAGGCCGTGGCCCGCCCAGCTCTAGAGAAAAATTATAATTTTCTACTTGCAACAGTACAATCCAGTAGCAAACCAACCCAGCAGTGCATGAGCAAAGCTAAGGCCCATGAGGCAGCGAGGAGCGACCCACACAACTAGCACAAGGCCGCAGAACAAGTCGTCCAGTGCACAAGAAATTTTCTTTCAACCACCACAAGAATTTTTCTTTCTTTCTTCAAATTGTACTTCACAACATCATCTCGATACCATTTTCCTGGATATATAGTGTTAGACTATACTACTGTAGCAATCTGAAATTTCACCAACTATAATGCCTACTTTATTGCGTGGTTTAGAAACAAATTTTTTTGGCCCGCCCAACTCGTTGGTTGTAGCTCCGCCACTGCTCATCGGTCATATTGGAGGTCGAGCCAATCCTTCCTCGACAGACCACTGCCGGTGAGACATGGTTCCGGGCCGGCGCCGTTGTTGTCACAGTCGAGGAAAATGCTCCGCCACTCCTCGACGTCAAACTCCTTCCAGTTAGAGGAATGAAATCGGGATTTTACTTCTCTAACCGGTTATTGGGGATCGGTTAGAAATGCCCTAAGCAAACTAGAAATGTTCAGGGATACTGTTTGGTCAGTGAGCTCTGTCACCATTCTGGAATCGAATCTACTGAGAAACAGTAGCAGCACACACTCTTCTGGTCAAATAGGGGACGAGGTTTGCTTCCTGATGCCTCGCCTGTGTTTGCGGCTGCAGAGCTCTCGGACGCTTTCTTTGGCGTCCTGGTGCCACACTAGCACTGGACTTCACAAGATATAACTGTGTGGTTCACAGTTTTCGTTAGCGGCACGTGTGACGGGTTGCACATTACACGCGAGCAGCAGCAGAGCAAGTGCAGATCCACATTTATGATTTGCTTCCTGAAAGGAGGTGAATCAAATGCAATACTTGCCTACCAGTAATTCTGACACATTGAAGCGGGAGCCGGATCCTCTGACGTATGGCCCCTGACGTTGAGTCATTGATGCGTGAGCTCGGGGCCACATGTCAGTGGGTGTCACGGCAAGTCAGGGGTGCCGCGTCCTCTGAAGCGACCAAGAACATGCCATGTCTTGTCTGGCTCTGTCTCAACACAAATTCGACCTCAGTTTCCAAACCATAGCTCACAAATGAGGTGAAGTTGTAACTCAGAATTTCAGATACAATACATTTTGCTAACAATTTGACAAATGCAGAACATACAACATCAATCCATGCATCAATCTGAAAAACGAAAACTAACATCACACCGTCGTAATTAAGCACGAAACAGAGTATTTGTATACAAGTATGGTAACATGGTCGATCTTTACTGGTGTTGCTTAAAAGAGAGGAGCGCCTTGAAGATACCCACTAGAACACCGACCACGGAGAATACCGTGATAATGGTTCTAAAGTTGTTGTAGATGAACTTGTGCACCTTGATCCACATCCACCTATTGACCTTGTAATTCTCAATGGTTGTCAAGATGTGGGTGTAGGAGCGGCCACCGTTCAGGTGCTTGGTAAGGCTCTTGAAGAACTGTAGCATCTCTTTGTTTGTGAGTTGACCTTGCACAATATGCTTCCTTCGTAGCTCGTGCACATCCTCCTCCCGGTTCATGAGCATCGAAAGGAGGGCGATGTATGAGCAGACGGCCAACCCTTCATGATGTTCTGCATCCCCTGAGGTCGTGCATAGCTCGAAGGCCGCCATGTTTACAAGGTAACATGCCCTTGTGCTGGTTAGTGCTAGTGGCGTAAGGAAAAGCTCGCCAAAGAGGGGTCCTTTCTTGATGCCGATTTCGTTGAAACATCCTGTCTTGCTTGCTTTTAACTTGATGCCAATTTCTGCAAGCTCGATGGCACTTATAGATGTTGACATTATTTCTTTCTTGGGTGCTGGTATATCTCTTTCTACAAGCCTGAGGTTAGGCTCAGCAATCATTCGGGCTTTCAAACAATTCAATGTTGAAAATACATGGTTGATGCAAGCCTTCTTGCTGACCTTGATGGCCGTCCTGCTGCTTGTTTTGTAGAAATGAAGGAGACCAAGCACATGAAGCGGATTGCATTCTTCATCGAAGCCTAAAAGGATCTTTTCTCGTTGTAGACGACGGTTTGTGAGAGATTCTGCCAACCTTGAAATTGACTGTTTCACTTGCACGGACACGGACCTAAAGTTGAGGAGGGTTTCCACAACCAGCCAGGGGAGCTGGTTCTCTATTAGCATTACATCATTATTGATATGTCGTGCGTTGGAGCGTAAGACGAATAGCAACTCTGGACATGGAAGCTGATCCCTGTGAACAATAAGCATAAACTCCACCAAGAAACATGCATCATAGAACATCATCGCCGCAAAATCAGCAGGGCTTATACTTGCCAGCACATCGTCATCATAGAGGCAGCGGACCTTGTCAGCAACCTTGACGACATCCCCATAGATATCCTCAAGCGAGCGTCCTGAATCGTTGACGAAGTGGTGAGCAGCCACGTGCTTCACCTTCTCCATGTGCCTTAGGCGGGGTGAGCCATGGTGGTAAGGGCCAATGGCCACAAGCTTTGGCACAATGTACTGGCTGCCGAGACCGCGTAGGCTTGCAGGGAACCTATGCATCTTCTCTTGTCTCTTGTCGAAATTGACCTTGATCTCTTGTGCTGCTTTCCTCAAGTACTCCGTCTCAACCGGAGCCGGTACTGCTTCTGCAAAGTCCATGATGCTCTCATCAACTTGCTCGCGGCTACAGCTAGGAAAATGACGCACATCAGTGATCCCAGAGGTGAAAGCAGCCTTAAACTCTTGAGCTTCTTTCTTCAAGTACTCCTCAACCAGAGCAGGTACTGCTTCTGCAGAATCCATGGGCTTGGCCTGCGAATCAACTTGCTGGAGTATCACATAGATGTGTAATATCAGCACAAAAAATTAACTTCCTACAGCTAGAGCTACCACGATTTCCTAATTGCAAAAACAAAACTGTAGATGGACGGAGTAAAAGAACACAAAAGATGCCGAGATGGAGCCTCGACTTTTCCCCCTTTTGTGTGTATAAATTCTGACAATATTACTACTGCAAATAGGATTTGTTAGCTTAATATTAATTACTTGTATCCACATATTTGCTTTTGTTATGCATGTAGCATATGTTAGGGACTAGCTAGCCGGCGAAGCTTCAACGGAGGCATGCGGAGACGGCAAGATGCCGGTGGCGGTGTGAAGCTGCGATGCTGCGCGAGGCGGCAAGTCCGTGCGATGCGGAAGCAAGGTGAGATGCCAGAGAGATGGTCGTGCGATGAGACTTGAATGGCGAGATGCCGAGTACCGCGTGCACTGGGTGCAGCCTGGCGAGATGCCGGTGTGTGTACGGATGCAAGCCAGGTGACTTGGTTAGTTTGTTAGCTCGCATGACCAGGCTGCGTGGCTGTTAAGAGCCTGGCGGAAGTGCTGGACCTACGTGCAGGTAGGTAGATATTAATTAGCGCATGCATAAACGTGGGAGTGATTTCAGGAGTTGTTACTACGTGAAGTGGTTTCTTGTTAGAGCATCTTCAACAAACGTGCGGTAGCGCATCGCGCTAAAAAAGTTTTGCAGCATTGAAATAGTGTTTTTGCGCGCGAGATGTTTACCAGACGCACAAAAACCCGGTGTCCCAAATTTGCAGCCTCGCAGCCCGCGTGCGCTAAATTTAAAGCTCCGTTTTTGTGCGTGCTCTATCTTACAGCTTCTGCTGGAGCGCTTTTTTTGATCGCGCGCACTATATAGACATCTTTTCCAGTGCGTGGCTTATATAGCGTCTCTGTTGAAGATGCTCATAGTGGTTAGTGGAGGCATGACATGACTTTAGATGGCATGGGTGTATACTACCTCCTTTTCGCTTTATAAAGCTCAGTTTGTAAATCTCTTCAACCAAGGTAGATATTGAGTGATGAAATAAATTTTGTAATTGGCAAAAATACTTAATTATGACACTCATTTTTCTTAAAAAGTTGTGTTCATTGATGGCGTCGTATCTAATGCATCCGGGATGCTTCGTGAATCCCTGTATCCGCCGACTCCTCGACCGGCCGATTGCCATCCCACGCACGCGATCAAAATCTCCAGGGATTTGCAAAGAAACGCCCGCAACAACTCTTAGTTAAGCCTGCCATTTTGCTAGTAACCCCTCGGCCGGAATACCTCTGCTAATCCCCGCTCGTCTCCCTCCCAATCCCTAATCACGGCCGCAACATGCATCCCGACGACAGCCACGGCCGGGACGGCATGCATCCGGACGGACAATCGCCAGGACGGCATTCATCTGCCCTGACGATCTCCGCGATGACCATGATGGGATGCATCTCTGATTCTGAACGCCCCATCAGCATGATGGAAAAATCTCCGGAAGTGATCGTGGCGGCTCCTGCTGTTATGGATGTCCGATATGCATCAGCAGTGATCCATAGTTCAAGTGCTGATCGTGTGTATGCCTCTGCGTCTAGCCAGTTGGAGGCCCATCTCGCTGTAGAAACTGCTATGGCTGTAGAAAATATTAGTACTGCAGAATGCGAATCAGATGTCAGTACTGTGCATGGAGCTTCAGGTAACATTGGTAAAGCCTAGCCATTTTATGTATGACCCAGACTACTTGTGTATGTTGTATGTACTACTTGTTATCTGAAGACTAATCATGTTGATGCATGTGCAGCTACAGAATTAGGTAAAAGCTTGGAAACTCAAGTGAAGGAGGGAGAATTTGCTACGCCGAAAAAGAAAGAAAGCATTCCTCTATTTGTGAGTTTATTAAATTTTTGTTTGCCATGTCCCTATTCAGTTTTGAGAGTTATGCATGATGATGATTATTGTCATTCATTATTTACTTTTTAGTGCTCCTCTTTCACGCCGAGATGTGACGAGAAGTTGAAGCCTAAAGTAGGGATGGAATTTGAAGGCCTTGATGCCGTGGAGGAGTTCTACAAGTCATATGCACATCATGTGGGTTTTGGAGTTCGTGTCGGACAACAGAAAAAGTTGGACAATAATGTGGTTCGGACAAAACGTTTCATGTGCAATAGGGAAGGATTCAGGTCTGAGAAGAGCAAGGAGATTAAAGATCCAGCAAAGAAATTCCGTAAGAATACAACCACACGATGTGGTTGTGATGCACATATCTTCGTCAAGTTATGTGGCGATAACACCTACAAGATACAGTCATGGATTGAGCACCACACTCATGGCCTTGTATCGCCTGATAAATGCCATTTGATCAGATCAAATCGCAGAGTTAGCGAGAGGGCAAAAAATACACTGTACACATGCCACAAAGCAAGCATAGGCACATGTCAGGCATACAGGCTCCTTCAAGTCAGCGAAGGTGGGATTCCTAATGTTGGATGCTCAAAGAGGGACCTACAAAATTACTACCGCGACCTCAGGCTAAAAATCAGGGACGCAGATGCTCAAATGTTTGTCGCTCAGCTAGCTAGAAAGCAAGAAGTCAATCCAGCTTTTTTCTACGATTTTGTTGTCAGCCGTGAGGGGAAGTTGATGTATGTGTTTTGGGCAGATGCTATGAGTAGGAAAAACTACAATCTCTTCGGTGGTGATGGTGTGGTATCCTTTGATTCTACTTACACTACTAATCAATACAACATGATCTTTGCACCATTTACGGGGGTCAATCATCACTTACAAAGTGTGTTTTTTGGCGCGGCATTCTTGATAAATGAGCAGACTCAGTCATATGTTTGGTTATTTGAGACCTTCCTTATAGCAATGGGAGGGGTAGCACCTAGACTCATTATAACTGATGAAGCTGTTAGCATGAAGAATGCGATTGACAAAGTTTTTCCGACCACTGTGCATAGGTTATGTATGTGGCACATAATGGAGAAACTTCCGGAGAAGATTGGACCATTAATTAGAGAAGACTCTGATTTTTGGGATAGGATGAATTCGTGTGTATGGGGTTCCGAAACTCCAGCTGAGTTTGAGTTGCAGTGGAATTCAGTCATTAAGGACTTTGGCTTGGAGGAGAATGAGTGGTTGACTAAAAGGTTTAGCATTCGTGAGTCATGGATACCAGCTTACTTTATGGATATACCATTGGCAGGCATTCTCCGAACAACATCAAGGTCTGAAAGTGCAAATTCCTTCTTTAACCGTTTTATTCATCGTAAGCTTGCTCTTGTTGAGTTTTGGCTTAGATTTGACACGGCATTAGAATGCCAGCGAGAAGAGGAGTTGATTGCCGACAACTCAAGCATTCATACAACCCCACAACTACTGACACCATGGGAAATAGAAAAACAAGGCAGAGAAGTGTTTACATATGAGGTGTTTGAGATATTTCAGAAAGAGATTATTGCAGCAAGAGATCATTGTTGCATCCAATGCATTGCACAAGATGAAGCAATAAAAATTGTGAGCTTGAGAGGTCGATCCCATAGGATTAGGGAAGTTCGGTGCGACACCACAACCATGATAGCTAATTGTTCATGCAAGTTATTTGAGAAAATTGGAGTCCCGTGCCGACATATCATCCAGGTGTTGAGGGTTGAAAATCAAAATGAACTTCCATCCTACTACATTATGAAACGATGGGAGAAACGGTGCAAAAGGTATAAAAATGTATACAATTGATATTCTAATTGGATATCAAATGACTGACATCATTTTTTTAATTGACAGGGAAAATGTGTATGATGAGCATGGGCATTTACTAGAAGAGAAGGCAACTGACTCCTTGAATTCGGCTACTAGGAAGAAGATTGCGATTGTGCGCAACAAGTTGGAGGATCTAATTCAGAAGGCGAAACACTCGGATGAAGGCATGGACTTTTTAACATCAAGTGTATTGAATATTGAAGCTCCTCTAGACAAAATGGTTCCTACATCAGGTGTGAAGCACACTAGACAACAGGAATACGAGGCTTTCATTGGTTGTGATATTCCTACTGAAATTGACATACACCCACTGACTGATGTTCGTACGGTGGGAAGATGCAAACGAATAAAGAGTGGGAAGGAAAAAAATGAGGACGAACAAAAAAAGAAGAAGAAGGAAGCCAAGGTAAAGGTCGCACGTATGTGCAAGACGTGCAAACAAATAGTATTTCATGATAGTCGCAATTGCCCTAGCAAAAAAGTTCACGGCAAAGGAACCGAGATTGTGCAACAGATGAAGCCAAATGGTGTTCTATGATGGCCTTAGTCTATTACAAAACATGAATTTATATGACCTATTACTGTTTATTTCTCCATGCACTGGATTATTGTAATCGATGGAATTATGTGTTTTGTCAAACTGTCTTCCTTTTATTTACTCTGACTTGATGTGTATTGAATGGAGTGTAGCAATCTGCAAGAGCACCAGCTTACATCATGTTCACATTTACCTGAAGCATGCTCTGTTCTTTTATGCAAACAATCAGCAGCTATCACCCAGGAGAATATAAATGTACAAGAAACTTTGCGAGACTGTGAGCGTACATCCCTTTATTCAGTTGTATAGCAGTATAGGCATCGAGTTCATTGAGTCGTCAATTATTACCAGATGTCTTTACCAGCAGCAGTATGTTTCAAGTTTGAAAGCTTAACAGTAGCGTATGAATCAGGCAGGGAACAACTCAGTTGGCAAACCCACGTCCACCTCCACAATAGCATTCAGCAAAAGAAATTAAACAATGGTAGGTGTTCAGAATTTTGACAGTGCTTGGGAAGGTTGCAGCAAAAGCAACATCTTCTTGTTTGTGCATACGTAAAGGACAAATAAAATGCAGAATCACAAGGAATGATAAGCACCTAGTTATACTATGCCGTCGTTCAACTGTATTGCATCACATATCACAGAACACCACAAAATCATCAGGGCAATACGAAATTT